CTGGTGTTTGCTTAAGACCTGTTTCTCTAGTCCTGAACAGCAGTCCCCATCAACCTGACACTGCATTCTCTAACTAGCCCCGTTTCTAGCAAATGCGTAACAAGAGGACTACAAAAGACTGAGGTGGCCTCCTTCAGGGTTGGGGTGCTTTGTGTGAGACACCCAGCTGGCACTCACAGATGTAAAACAAACATTCAATGTGGAATATCCAAGGACAGCCTTTTTAAGATCAGTGTGTAGATGGATCTAACGCTGAGCTCCCATTTCCCTCAAAACTTTGTCTTGAATGTACACTTCCATAAAGGTTTTTCTACACAGGGGGTGGGGGGAAGACACGCCACCTTTTGCCACACTGATTGACCTACCAAAAGTAAGTCTTGAAAATGGAAAACTGTATCTAAGGCTGCACAGTAAATAATCCCAAATACATACCACGAACTATGTATGGGTGTCCTTCACCAGGTAAGGACACCATCGTTGATGGGCACACCATCAGGGTTCCTAACCATGTCATTTGGGCCATTGTTTTTGGTTACAAATTCAAAACACTTTTGTATTGGACTTAAGAGATGGCTCCGAGGTTAAGAGCACTGGCTGCTCTTCCAAAGGACCTCGGTTCAGGGCCTAGCACCCACAGGGCAGCTCCCACGCATCTCTCAATTCCAGCTCCAAGGGATCCAGCACCCTCTTCTGGCCTACGTGGGTACTGCATGCATATGGTACACACGTACATACAAGCAAACATGAAAATTAAAAAAAAAAAACATTTTAATATCTGTACTGATCTAAGCTTCTATAAAGAAGAGGACTGTTTTATAATCAGAAAATATACTTAAATCCTAGTGACTTACTACAGGCCTCATTTCCAAACTAAACACACCGACTGTCTGAGCCTGTCAAGAAAACACACTGAGAGAGGCAGCTGAACGCTACTCACATGTCTAACACTAGCAGCTGGCTGAGAACTCTGCGGTCCCACACACAGGCGCTGCCCACAACTGTACTCCCACACCTGCACTGAGACCATCTATCCCCAGACCACCCTCAGGCTGAGTCAGACAATCAGAGACCACACTCTCCCAGGATTTATCAGACTGATGGAGACTAACACCTAAACACTATTTGAAGGCGTGACTAAGCATTTGGTTTGTGTTTATTTTCCCACTCCAAAAGAACGCACCATCTATAATCAGCAGCCAGGCTCCACTGCCAATTTAACGGGCGAAATTGGATAATCACTCAAAACACTCTAGTCCTACTCTAAGCCCCAGATAAACCACACTGAAGACCAGCTCTGACCCCTCCTCCCACACGATGTACAGTCCTAGACAAGAGGCCTATCGTCGCTCATTCTCCCCACAGGTAATGGCTACCCTCGAGCCACACGGATGCTGAGGAAACAGACCAAAGGATCCGCCCTTCTTGAAATAGGACTCATGGTGGGGATGAGCCATTTACACCAAGGAAAGCAGAGCTCACTTGGCTCTTGAACCTCACTATGAAGAAGAAGAAAAAAGAGGCCCAATAGTGAAGTCCTGCTCCATGCCTGTGACAAAGCTCAGCATCCAGGAAGCAGCAGAACCACATTTGGTGAGGAAGAAGCGCACCCCAAACTCCATTTACCCACCAGTAGGAATGAAAGCTCCTCCGGGACACTTTGGAACATGGTTTGGCAATTTCTCACAAAAGTAAACAGGCAATTACCAGATAACCCAGCATCTCTAATCCAGGGTATTTACCCACTTGGGCTGAAATCTTTTGTCTAGACAAATGGATGCCAGTGTTTAAGGCAGACTTATTCACAACTGCCACAACTTGCAAGCATATAAGACATCCTTCAGTAGACAGGAGATAAATGGTTACATCCAAGCATTGGAAAGAAGCGAGCCACAAAAATAAATATTGTAGAGGGTCAGTGGATAAGGGACCTGCTGTATAATCATGAGGACTGGAATCAGACTCCCAGAACACAAAGCTCAATAGGCCTAGCAACCAGCTTGTAATCTCAGGCCTCAAGAAATGGAGACAAAGGGGCCCCTGGGCAAGCTGGCTGGCTAGGGCTAACCGGTTCCTGCAAGCTGTGGGTTCAAGTGAGAGAGACCCTGTCTGGATATACAAGGTAGAGAGGAATCAAGGAAGACAACATCACACCTCTATAGATACACACAAGCATACACATGCAAAACAAAAGAGCATGGAGGATGGACCCCCTCAGTTCATTCTACGCCAAGTGACAGAAACCCAATCTGTTTCCACACCCCACATATGACATCCTGGGAAAGGCAAAACTTTAGGAAGGGCTCAACGGGTTCCAGGCCTTACTGGAGGAAGAAAACTAGAACAGAGGATTCCTACGGTGGCAAAATTCATCACTGTGCTCTTACAGTGTCGTCACACCTCTGTCCTAGCCCAGACTATATACAACTCCAATAGTGAACCCTATGGAAACCACAGACTACAGGTGCCCGTGAAACCCTGGACTCTGACAAATGCAGCACTCTGGTGCTCTGGAGGCCGGCGGTGGAGGATGCTGTGCCTACAGAGGGTGTAGGAAGCAGCTGGGAGAAACTACTTTATGCCGATTTTTACCACAAACCTAAAGCTACTGTAAAATACAGCCTATTTTTTTAAGTCAGTCAGTCTCTCTCTCCCCCACCCCACCCCCGGCCTAGGGTGCAGCTGAAAACCAACATGCCTTCATCACATTTAGTGTTCATCAACATGTAAGTTAATGTTATAACTAGCAGGACTAAGAAGAGCCAAGAAAGCAAGAAACAGGATGATGTTAGTTTGACAGATGATGTCAAACTAACTGAGCCTTATCACGGCCTTCCCGGTAGGGTCCGTCAGGAACCGCACAGCTTGACACTGGCATAAACTCAACAGGTGGTGTTCTGTTGTGCACCATAAGCCAGTTCCGAGGTAGAACCCCGCCCCCAAGTCTTCATCCCGGGGCAAAAGCTTCACCAATCTTTTCCTGCGCTGGATGATTAGCTACTTACACACCTGCCAAGAGTGAGGCACCCAGGTGGACCACGTGAACTTTAATCTCCCTGAACACATTAGGGATTAAAAACAAACAGACAAAAAAAAATAAAAAATAAAAAAAAAATAAACCGGTCCCACACTTGCAAACTGTCAGCTTGAAGAATTTAACGACCTCACTGGGTAGGACTACAAAACACTTACACAAAGGATCTAACTGGCTGTTGGCTGTAGCTGAGTGAGTGTTGACCAAAGCTTTCCCCCACCTTCTCCACTGCTGCTACCAAATATTCAGGAGGCTTCTGGTCTTGCGTGCCAGGCATGAACGTGTTTGTCCCTGCAAGGCCAACGTCTCTGTGTACAAGTAACAGACCTGTTCATAGGTCAGCAGGTCAAACAGATAACTCTCTCGAAGTGTCACCTGCCTCCACACAAACAGCAGACCCACCTGCCGGCTCAGGGCACGGAAGAGGCTGGAGAGAAGTTTTGTTCCCTTCCAAGGTCTGCAGGAGACCAAATGCTGTCCTTCACCATGAGTTTTAAACAGTTTTCACTTACATCAAATTTGAAATTAACAACCCGCACCGCCCAATGTCCCTCTCCTGTTCAACCTCCATTCTGCCGAGTCCTCTCGTAGCCAAAGAAGACTGAAGGCTTGCCAGGTGGCCACCTCCACAAATTGCTTCCCTCTCCTAGCAAAAGTCCCATCCAACAGTTTGCATCCTGGAAATGTAGGCTTGTGGGTCCAGTTCCCCTGAAGGGGACTGGATAAGAGCAAGGAGGATGTCTTTCAACAAAATCAGCTACTATTTAGGTTGCAAATCACACTCCTTCCCTGGTGGAAACCTGCTATCTACACAAACCAAAAAGGGCCATGTAGAAACAAACACACACTCTACTTTTTCTTGGCACAAGGGTGGCTTAAATTTGTCCCGTTTTCGTCTCCAGGATGTGATCCTTGACCCATCACCAAATTTCTTTTCTCCACTGGAAGGTTTTGTCTAATCAGCTGCGTGCAAGCGGCTCTGGCAATTTATCCTCCTTGATTTCTTGACATTTTCTTCCGTGCTGCTGGCTGGGAAACTGTTTTGATCTGAATAGGGTTGTCTGTGGGGGATTCTGCATGTTAATGATGTGGAGTTGGCAAGGATGGAAGGTGAGAGCACAGCGCGTACTTTTTCTAGTTACGTTTCGCCTCATCACCGCTACGGGGGCCTTTCCACTCAGCTCCACCAGGAGGCTGATCTCAGGCTAACGTTACCCTCTTCCAGCGGAGCCTCGAGGGGCCAGGTAGAAACAGAACAGATGGCCTGTGTTCCAGTCAAGTACCTAGGCTCACAGGCAAGTACTCCTAAGACTCTACCACCAATGATGGAGACGCACGTACATCCTAGCTCAGCCAGGCAATCCCAGTGGCCACCCTCCATCCCCGTCCCAGCCAGTGCCAGACGCTACACTCCCCCCTACTCTGTACCCGCCCACCCTCCAGGCCCAAAAGGACAGCGATCCAAAGGAGGTGCAGCTGGAGACTCAGTGCCCGCCCTTCTCTCCCCATCCTGGCCAGAAAACTCCACTTCCCGGATTCCGGGCCACTCTCTCCCTCCCCCAGCGCCGGCAATCCAGCAAAGCACCGTCCTCCTGCCAACTGGGTGCCCAGCCCAATGGCACACCCCGCCTTCTCCACTAAGCCCCAAACAGACCCCAGCTTCATTCACTCACCGGGACTCGGTGGGGGTGGGGAGGGAACCCCCGATTCCGAGCCTTCAGGGACCCTAGGGCTGAGAAAGTCCTACCCCGCCCCCCAAGCCACGCCGCCAGCCTCCAGCCATGCCTCGGAGGGGCCTCCACCCCGGGCAACGGGGGAACGTGGGGAGGAGTCTCCCCAGGCACCTCCAACACCCCAAGGGAGGGAGGACGTCCGTGGTCCCCAAGGCTGGCTCCCCATGCCCGCAGGCCCGCAGCCCCCGCACAGGGGCGCGCACTCGGGGGTCCCCGGGTCCGCGGGGTGCACTCACGATGGTCACGCTGGCTTTGCGCAGGTCGCGGTTCTCCTCCTGCAGCGCCTTGCACTTGAGTTTGTAGGTCTCCAGCTCGATCTTGAGCACCTTGTTCTCCTGCTGCAGCGAGGCCAGGCGGTTGGTGAGCTCCTCCAGGCGGAACGGCGAGATGACAATGCCCCCCGACTTCCCGCCGCCGCCCCCGCCGCCGCCGCCCGAGGTCGCCGAGCAGGACGACGGCATGGCTGCCGGGCCGCCGCCCGCCGCGTCGGTGTCGCTCTCGCTCGCGCTGTCCGCCATGGCGGGGCGAGTGGGCGCGGGGAGCGGGGCGCGGAGGGCCGGGAGCGCGGG